GAATCGGTTTACATTCTCATTTCCTGGCTGAGTGTGTAAGTCTTCGATTTTTGCTGGAAGTCGGAATTCATTAGGACGCCCATGGGTAAATGAAATAAAAAGAGTTCGAGCCTTCGCTGCCTCATTATATCAACTAATAAGCTAATACAGACGTCGGACTTTTGACAAGGACCACCAGATTGTCCAATTTAGCGGTAGCTTTGTCATTTGCTTGCACTTCATTTTTTATATTGAGTAAAGCCTTGACCATTTAATAAATAAAAATTATTTAATTAATTTTTATTTACATTTTTACAACTTTGTTAACTGTTCATTAATGGGGATTACGAGTTTTTTTAATAATTGGTTTCGGATTACAAAGAGTAATTTGGGCTTAAGCTTAATTTCAAACCATACAAATAGTATGTTTTAAAAATATTTAAGATACCATTAATTTAAAGATACAAGTAAAGCAAGTTATAGATATATAATGTCATGATTAAAAGGAAATCTGTTCTATTATCTGATAAAATTTAATTAGTTAGATTTAAAATAATAATAATCAATTATATAAATTTCATGTTCTAATTAATTTAATACACGAAATTTATTTAATTTTGTATATAGGTAATTATATTCAATATATTATGAATTAATGGACAATATGGATTAAATAATATTGATTCGATTGATATATTTTTGTGTCGCATACAAGTAACTCGAGCAGTTAAAAAATAGTCATTTATCATTTGTAAAATATATTTTATGTTTTGAATGCATTTGAATTTTGTGAAGTGAAGAATATAATAAATTAAATATTAATTATTATTTAAGATGGGTCGTAATTATGCGTCATCGTGAGATGATGATTGATATCGATATTAAAGTAATATATTATAAGTTAGATATGCGCGCACACGCACGCACGCACAATTAAGAATGTCAAAGAATGTGAAAGAAGAAAGAGTAAAGTAAATGCGTGTTTTTATCAAGTCCAAGCATGAAAGAGAGCAATATTATTATAAATAACAGTTTTGCTGCGAACGATAGTTAAATTAGCAATGCGTTTGTTTGCGAAAATATACTTGACGAGGATTATAAGTTCAAATAAGATGGGCTTAAATACTTATGGAGACGTATGTTATTTAATAAATTGCATTTAACAACATAGATGCAATACGTGGATCTGAAATTTTCGTAAGAAAAATTTATGTAATAATGTGGCTGAAATTTTGAACTCGACGTGAGTGTCTCTGCAATCTAATATCACAACCAGATGTCCTTAGATTCCACGTTCTATTGCTTTAATTATCCTGATAAAAGCCAAAATTGTGGAGAAGATAGGCGTGTTTGACTCTACCGGTAAGTGAGCCTTATTTGGTGAGTCGGTCCTGGCGCCTGGGATGAGGTGGGCGTTGTCAAAAACCAGAGACACGCCGCGGAGTCCTTGCCTGGTACTTTTGACCCTCGCTAACGTCTCTTGTTCCTTTTTCCTTTTCTCCCTACGTTGCCTGGACTCTTAAGGAACGCATGCATAATGACTGTCGCGCCGGGATATTTTCAAAGAAGGTCTCCTTTAGCCTCGAAATTTAAAACGACGATGTCTTATTCGAAATAAAAAAACATGGATTTATATTTCGTTCATTTTCTTTTTTTTCTTCGCAAGACTATCGATCGAATATTTTGTAGAATGCTATAAACGAATGTTATTACAGTATTGAGATTTTTATTTTAAGAAAATATTCAGTAGTAGCCACTCGATGCAAATAAATTTTTGTTAAATTTTAATTTTATAATAAATCATGATTTGTATAAATAAAATTGTATCGAAATTGTTATAAATGAATTATTTAATGCAATATATATTTTGAACATTAAATTTGACTCTATAATGAGAATAATATTTTATGATAGGATAGGAAATGGGTATAAGCTTTATTAGATAATAGGTTTGTTTAAAATAAATTTATTTTCTAAGAAATAAGTAATTTTATTTTCGATGTTTAAAATTTATATATGATATATGTTTTTATTTTACTTATTTTAAGACAAGAATATATCAAGTTGAAATTAATCTTAATAATGTAGTGAACTGTAAAATTTTTGTAAATATATAATAGACAAATTTAAATTATGAAATAAAAATTTGTAAAATCTAATTTTTCTTGTAGTATAAAAAATAATTTTTTTATTCTTTATTTCTTATGTGATGAGTATACTAATACAGCAATATATACACAATAATATATCATTTATATAATAATAAGTTTATTATAGAATGTCTTTTAATAATAAAAATATTATAGCTACATAGAAATACGCGCAAAAATAGTAATCGAAAAATTTAATTTAATTTTAACATTTATTTAAAAAAAAGTATAATTTCATAATAAAGAATTATTAAATATATTATTAAATAATATTAATAGTTATGCAAAAGATTAAATTTTTACATTACCTTAATGAAAATGTTTGAATTAGTTCATTATAATCTGTAGATTGTCTTTAGAAATCTATCTTCACCTTCAAATACGCTGAGTATATACTGAAACTACAAATTAATTTCAGTAGAATTTTTCATATAAACATTCATTGAAATTGATTAATTAATCAAAACTTTCAAAATAGATTAGCAATAACTTTCGAGTAAATTTGAAAGATGAGCAAAATGTTAATTTGAAAAGAAAAAAAATTATTTCTATAAAAAGTATCAACGCCATTTAAATTTTAATTTTTGTTAAAAAATATACTTGTTTTTTTTTTATTTTAACAAAAAAATCCCAATGCAATACGAAAATGATGTTTCATTGACTATTGTGTTATAGTCACATTTGCAGTTGTTCAGGATTCTGTATCCTTCCTCACGAATGAACTTAAACAACGCGTCATTCAGATTCCCGTTGACGCTATTAAAGATGGTTTATCACGCTCTACAGAGTTTGTAATTGCATCCCGACTCTTTTTACGATAATAATCATGAATGCCATTTTCACTTGTAACAATTCTACAACTAGGTCATTTATTTTCAATTATGTCATATAGACATGTTATATAATATATTTTTTTACAATCCGATTTGTCGATCTAGGTTTATTAATAAATATATATAGTGTTACTTTTTTTTCTCTAAATAATCAATCGAAAAGATCAGTTGGTGTACATACATTATATAAAATACAATAATTTATTTTTAGAACTGTAGTATTCATTCAAATATAATATTGTTAAAATGGTTAAAATAGTTGAGTGAAAAGTTCGTAATGTTTATAGTTTAAATTTAGTTAAGAGGTTTTATAAAATTGTTAATTTTATACAAATAAAATCTATACAATATTCAATTGTAAGTGCTACATGTGCCATTACATTTGAAACGTATACCACATAACAATAAACAATATATGTATACATACATTAATTTATGGAGAATATTTAAATGCTTTTATGTAGTAATATAATGCCTTTAAATAATGTTTCTTAAAGAATGTACACTTGTCAGAATTTATAACGAAACACTTAATATATTTTAAATTATAAAAAAATAGTTCTAATTACTCAAAGTATTTTTTAAGCGAACAAATATTTATTTGCAAGTTTACAGCAGTAAATTATAACACGATTTCTATTTACAGTTTTTTTTTTTTAAATTAAAAAACTAAAAATATAACATTATCATTGATTATTAAATTATTCAATGGCTAATTTAACACAATTTCATTCATTTTTAAATGAAAGAATTGGAAATTCCTCGCTTGCTCCTTCTTTACGTAAACACGTTCTTGATAATTGTACATACAGCACCGAAAATAGTCTCAGGGATTTTATTACATTATTATTTAAAAATTATATTAAATTTTTATTATTATCGAAATAATCCGAAATACCAAATAGAAATAGATAGATAAATAAAGCTTTTATGCAAAAACCAAAATTTTATAGTTTCTGTCAAATAAAAATATTAAAAATATTTTAAAGTAACAAAAGTCTCACTTTTAGTAATATTTATTAATAACTAATACAAATAATTAGATTTTTTAATAACAATTTTTTATTATATTTATAATGTGATCAAAAGTATCATATTGTATCAATATGCGTCTTATTTATATTAAAAGTTTGTAAATTATGTACAATATAATAATTCTAAAAAACTATAGTAATCATTGAAATTATTTTAACTATTTGCCATTGGTAATTACAACAAAATATATTTTTAGTATATAGTATTTTATGAAGTATAACAAAGCTGTATCGAGGAAATAATTAGCAGTGACAAATAATAAAGATACAAAATGGAAGAAATATTTTTACCATAATTATTGACAGTAATATTCGTTTAAGCGTAAATTGTTAGAAGTTTAAAACAGACTACTTTACACTCCCTGTACAATTTTTGTTTTAAAAATGAAGTTGCAGAATGACAATTAAAATGGAGTGATCGTAACTTTACCACATAAACTAATAATAAATATTATTCATGGGTTATTGTAAACAATAAACATTGAAATATTTATTTGTGTTACTACAGTAAATTTAAAATCAATTATTAGATTGTCACATTTAATTCTAGCATTGAAGAAAACAATAGTGAAAGAATGTACAATAATAAATTTTAATAAATAAGTAGTTAAATATATTGAAAATGATAATAATATGTTTTGTACATATATTATTATAATATATATATATATATATATATATATATATATATGTTTATTTATCTATCTACTTATATATGTCGCATGACATAAAAAAATTGATTTATAATATTTTGTTTAAGATAATTAAATAATTATTTTAATTAGTTAAAATTTTGCATAAAAAATTAACTAAGAATATATTATAAAAAGTAATTGAAATTCTTTCATATTACATTTTAGTTAAAATGAAAATTTTATAGAGCATACAATTGAACATAACAAAATAATTATTTGGAAGAGGTTTGCAAAGTATGTGTTTAGTGAATTTAAATAATTTTTTTTATATATAAGATTTTCTAAAATTATAATAGAAAATAAAAAATATCGGTAAAACGCTTTGGAAGAAATAAATCTTTTAACTACAATTATTTACAAAATTAGATGACGATTTGTATATATCTGTCCACCAAAATTTTCAATTAAGTTTTTTCCTTCTTGAAATAATTGATGGAATTATCTATATTTTATTGTATACTTGATGCATTCTTAATAATGTGCGCTAAAAAATTTTTATTTTTGAACGTAGAAAACTGCGTGTAAAAAGAAGCACCATCGTGATATTTCTTACTTTTTCTTTAATTCACAAATGTCAAGAATTGTAAAAATTCGAACGTTAAAGCACAAAAAAAGGGAAGAATAAAATTTTGTTAATAAACTGATGTTAGAGTAGGAACTAAGCCTCGGCGTATTTCGATTTAATCAATTCAAACCCTGTGCTATTCATTAATATCAAAATCTAAAGTAACGATTTCATTGTTAACGTTACGCACTAGAAAGAGAGCTGAAGTCAAAACCTCAAAATCATTTTCCTGTCATCAAGAATGTTGTTCATTTGATAGTTTTTAGGTTGTACTTATAATTAATTTTAATCCTTTTTCTTTTTTGATAATAGTACTTAACAAAGCATACAACACTTTCATGTGCTTGCTTTGCCTATTGTTTAATGTACTCTTGAGTTGCAATACTCCTGAGAACGTATTTAACAGCAAAGGCGAAAATAGCTAAACCAATGATCATGGCAAAATTCGTAAGTACACTCTGAAGTGAACTTTGATCCATTTGTTGCTCATCTCGAATCAAAGATGAACCATCCGATGTTGTGGACCGATGCCTTGCCTGCTTTTCGAGTTCCTTTCTACGTTCTAACTCCTTTTTTATTGTCTAAATACAAATTAACAGAATTAGATTTTATAATCTAGAAGGAAAAATTTTATTGTAAATATAAATAGATTTTTTCATTTAATAAATCTCATGTATATTATAATTATTGATGCATGAAAACTATCTTCAATAAAAAATAATATACAATTATTAAAATTATATTTAAGTATTAAATTTATAAAATTTTGAAGCATATTTTTTTACAATTTTGTTTCCTAAATATATTCTGTTTAAAAAGTAGAAAATTGTATTTTAAATTCGATCGATGTTATAATATTAAAATTAAAACAAAACAAATATATAATGTAAGATTTTAAAATAAATTTTTGTAACTTACTACCACAGTATCTGGAAACAATTCACAAAACCATTTATCTTTTAAATTATATTCTAAACTTTGAGCTGCATAAATTTTTTTTTCATAGTCTGGAGTATTAATTGCTCCTAATGCTGAACTTGATTCAATCTAAATAATATAGAGAATCTTATTAAAAAATGTTTCATTTACATTCGCTTGATTTACATTGTTCATTGACATTGTTCTAGATAGTACATAACAAACATTATAAAAAACTATAATATAGATAGAATTATATTTGTAAATATTGAAAAAATTAATTATGTCAATATATTTTCATAAAAATATTAAATTTTACCATGAAACTAAGTAAGCCAATAAGAATAGTTGAAACACTCCATGCTGGATTCCATGTATCAGGATGATAATCTGAGATTGAAAGACATAGTTTTGTGTTAACTTTAAATCTACCATTTGGCGTTGTCATATAAATACTAGGTGGTTGGAATGGAAACTCCACTGGAAAAACTAATTTGCCATGATAGAAACCCCCTTCATATGGAGTGTTTTCTGGTCCTTTAATAACATAATGCCTGAAAAAAAAATTGTAAAAAATACAATTTTTATATATTTGAAAAGAAATGATCAAATAAGGCCTTACCATTCTAAAATATTAGATGGAATTGGCTCTGCTTGTACATATGGTACAGGATCTTTCTTGAGTCTTAAGTAATCTTGCTTTAATCTGCCAGTCGCAGTACTTGTTTTATGGTTCATTTCTAATTAAAATCTACAATATTCTATTTGAATCAATAACTTTTTTAATCGTTAAGTCGTTTTACACTTACAATATTTCGCAAAGATTTATAGTTATTTTAAATATCTTGAATTAGTTTTTAATTATACAATTTATATGAAATAATAGAGAAGGCGAGACTAAATTTTGTTGAGTGAGAGATTATCAAAAGTTAAGTTGATTAGTAAAAACCTTTTTTTTCGTGATGTGATGACGTAGATGTTTGTTTGGTTTGATGAAATCTAGTGAATATACAATCGAGTACAAAAATAATGCGACAAAGCTAGTAATCCTCGTTGTTTCTTATTATACGAACAGTAGTAGAAATTTGCGCGAAAACATCCACTACTTCGCTTCGTGCCAATATGTGAGGTTACGTTCAACTGACGTGATGATCAAAATTAAATAGTAGCAGCCGGAGACAAATACCGAAAGGTCTACTACTAATCGATTGGTATTTTCTCTTGTCGGAAATAACAATATGTGTATCCGTTTATAACACTGATATACGTGTATTTATAGTTCTTCTCTTTATAGTCCTTGGAATATTGAGTAATCCGAGATAATGAACAAATGAAAAACTGGAGTCAGAAAAAAATAATTTTTTTATTTTTCTTTCACACTTTTGCCGTGGAAGATAAATATTTTGACAGATTATGACAATTTGGTGATTTTTTTTTCAGTCTATATCTCTTTTGCTTTCTTTCTCCTTCTCTCTCTCTCTCTCTCTCTCTCTCTCTCTCACTCTGTCTCTCTTACACTTCTATATTTATATTTTTTTAATAAGAGTTGTTTACAAAAAATGTTTTAGAACCTTTTATTCACATCGGAATACATTACTCATCATACATCACTAAAAAAAAAAAACGTTGGACTGCGTGTCAAAGAAATTTCAAAGTACAAAGCTGACGTGTGACAACTGTTAATTATAGAAAGATGATGGACTCATTTCTTAATATTTATCTTCAAAGATTATGGACTTTAAAATATCCGTAAGAGGGCAATACTTGCATATTTACTAACAGGGTACTTAGTGACATGGACCATAGACAAATTATTGATATGATACGGACGTGTATTTTGTATTCATATTATTAATTATATTTGATTTTTATTTTTAAATACCTTACTCTAATGTAAATTTTATCCTATAAATAGTATGAGTGATATTTTTATTTTACGTGGTTTAATTAATAATGGTATTTCGAAATGATACACATTTTATTAACGAAATAAACAAAATTTTTCTTAATTTTATTCTTTTTACCGTTATGATAATTCTTCCGGAAGAACTATAATAGAATAAATCTGGATTGCCTGCATTTTTAGAAATATTCATAGGATTGTTGATATTTATCAACATGGGTGAGTTCGTGGTGCGGTACAACTTCAATTTTTAGTTTACTTTCGTTCTTTGTTAGAATTAATAAATTGAATTATTAGTTAAATGAAATAATTAAAATATAAAAGAAAAACTTGTAAATATAAATCAAGAATTTATTATTATCTAATAAATTAGTGGATTATTACAATATTTACAAATTAAAGTAATTGTACTAGTGTTAGGGATTATTGTTAAATCTAATACGTGATTGGTAATTATTAAATTATTTATATGGCTTGGTTAAATATCAAATATAGTACGATAACTGAATTTTTTTACATTTTATTAGCTTAATGATTATAGTGATGATTTTGATATTATTGTTTATAATAAAAACAACATAGCCCTAAATACATTTACTATTCTGTTCTAAATACTAATAGTACGTGTTGCACTAAAAGTATATAAATCAAATTCTTTGTGTCAAGTAATTTCTAACAGAATACATATATCAGATATTCTTCTTTTGCCTTTTTTCTCTTTAACGATCTAACGAAATAGAAATTGATTGAAGCATTTCATTAAATTGTAAGTAACTTACAAATATTAGTAAAATTATCGTGTATATAAAATTGGTGCTATTTGATGTCTTTTGTTCTTAGACAACATAGATTAGTATTTACATATAACTTTGTATCTACTACAAAATATGGATTCTGATTTTATTCTCTTCTGCTGCGATCATATCTGTAAGCGGCATTTTTAAATTAGATTTACTCAGATAAATATAATAAATCTGCTTATAAATATAATTGTACAGAATTTGAATCGAAAGACACATATAACATATAAGTCAAAGAGTATTTAACCTTTTTAAAATGAATAGATCTATCTCTATTAGTTATATATTCATATTATAATTAATAAATATAAGTTTAAGAAAGTAATATATTTTTAAATATAGGCGATTTTATAATTAGATTTACTATAAAATATATAATATTGTATTAATAAGTGCACGGGAATTGTTTATTAAAATCTAAAGTTGATAAACAAATCTTGTAAGATATAATAACTTGAGTATTAGCCAGCAGATGGCAAAATAATCGTCTTACATTGCTCAAATCGTGCTGGTTTCATAATTTCGTTAAAGATTTTTCTTTAGTGAGGATAATTTCCAAGTCGTGTAAATTAGCAGGTCACAGCTAAGGAGTCACACGTATACTGATTTGGAGTAAAAATTTATCCAACTTTTCAGAGCGAAGAGCATAAAAGTCACGACTCGGTAAGATCAAGTATTATTTTCATATCTTCTCGTAAAATTCGCGCGTGTACTGGACTTGAGATTTCTCGGGATCGTTTAAACGGAGAGAGAAGGTCGAATAAAATAGTGGCCCATTTTTTTCGTTTGGTTTGGAAGCTCAGTTTCGTATTTCGCTACAAAGAAATCAAGGATAAGGATTAAAGTTAATCGCTAAGTCACGTATACAAATTGATGTATGTGCATCCTTATGAATAATTTTTTCGTTTTCTCCTCAATATTCTTATTTGACAGCCCTCGCACGTTTATTTAATGAGTCTGGCAGTGGATTTCTTAAGCGAACAAATATTTATTCTTCTCGATCTGGTTAGAGCATTGGTCTGCTCGAACGATTAAAATGGTCCTTGTTATCCTCGGTATCTAAAATCTTAGCACTAAGGCTGGGCATATAATTGCAAATGAAGATTTCGCCTAAGTGCATGTGCACGGTCACTACCTAACCTAGAATAACTAGTTTGTTCTTTATGTAACAACCGCGTCATTATTACAAATTGGAAAACGCTCGTTCAAATTGTAATTTATCTGCATTTTAGATATAAAAGGAGGAGCTCAAAGGTGTTGGAAGGATGCCGTCCGACGCAAAGAAGAAACAACAGCAGAAGAAGAAAGAAGCAGCGAAGGCGAGACAGTCTGGCAAGAAACCCACACAGAGCGGACAACGTAACGATGATAGTAAAGAAGATAGTGCGAATCCGAACGATGTTAGCATCAAGCAGAACGGTACCAACGGCACTGTGCTCAGTGTTGAGGGTAATTTTATCTTTTCTATTTTCTTCTTGAAACAATCATTTTCTTAATTCACCATGCTATTTGGCAATTATTTAATTATCATTCTTACAATATTTACATTTTCAGTTATTATTGTACATTTTTAAATTCATTTTATTTTGTTTGACCTTTGTATTATACTTCTTCCAATTTCTTATTAATATTGACTTCCTTTAATACGTTTTGATAACAGTATCAAATTACTTTATCACTTTATTATCATATTATACAATTGTGTTCTTTGTCAATTTAATTATATCAATAAATTGATATAATTAACTAGTTTTAAATTAACTAACAAATAATAAGCTTTTAATTTTTAATAACTTTGATTAATTGGATTGTGAACATTTCTATTTTGGATCTGGATTGTGCAAAATGAAAAAAGGTTCAATAAAGTATTTGTAGCTGGGATTTTCTTTTTTATTTCTTTTGTACTTTATTATATTTTTAATATCTCTAATAACTTTTTAATAAATGTCTGCTGTGAACTTTTCATTTTAATATTTTTATAATAATATCATTAAGTATTAATAGAAATATCAAAGACAGATCAAATTTATACATATCATTAAAATAAAATATTTGAATCAGATCTTAAATAAAACTATTCACATATTACATAGACTATAATTTTTGTTTATTTTTCATTTGACTTGAGAAAAATCATGTTTTAACAATTTTTAATTTAGTATTATAATTATCAAATTTTAACTACATGGATAGGGTACAGACAGTGATTAAAAAATATAGAATGGTATAATATATATATATATTTTATATTAATAGATAGAATATTTAAAATATTACAGTTGGATGAATTTCTTTCTTGTAGAGGCACTTTGTGCAAAATTGGAGGTAGATGCCCGCCTTAATGCAGAGGCTAGAGCTTGTACTGGCTCTTTGGCCTCTCATCCACGTAGTCGTGACATCAAGATTTCAAATTTTTCTGTGACTTTTCATGGTTGTGAGCTAATGCAGGACACAATGCTGGAATTGAATTGTGGTCGTCGCTATGGTTTATTGGGTCTCAATGGCTGTGGAAAGTCGACATTACTTTCAGTGCTTGGTATTCGTGAAGCTCCTATTCCTGAAGCTATTGATATTTTTCATTTAACAAGAGAAATGCCAGCTAGTAATAAAACTGCACTCAGATGTGTAATGGAGGTTGATGAAGAACGTGTTAGACTAGAGAAGTTAGCTGAGGAACTTGTCGAATGTCGTGAAGAAGATGCTCAAGTAATTTTGCTTTTCTTGTACATTATACGATTTTTCAAGTGTCATTATTATTTGTAAATACATATTATTTAAAAAATAGTGTGGTTGCTATAGTAATAGTTTTTTTTTTTGCATGTGATATAATGAATATATATATATATATATATATATATATATAATTATTTCAGGATTAGTAATACTTAACTAAATTGTTGTAGAAAGAATAGTGTAAATTAATTGTTAATACAATGGGAGGTACACTTTAACATCGTTATAATTATATTTTAAGAAATTATTTTGTTTATTTTTTTGCATGAGTCTTTTAACTTTATTGTAATAATTAAACAGTAAAAAAATTTTTTTGTATGAATATACTTTTAAATTTAAATGAAACAGGACATTTTATAATTATCGAAATTTTTTTTTTTAATCATTTATATAAAATCTGTTTCAAAATGTATTAAAACATTTATTAATATATTTATCCATTTTTATTTTTATTATACTTTTTATACATTACATTGAATTTGATCATAATGCTTTATTTTTAAATAAAGAAATTATATCAAAATAAAGTTGTATTTTTGTTAAGGAGAAGAAATATAAAACGGTATTAAAAACGGTATTCAAATTATAGTATTAAGAATTTTTTTTGTATTATTATTTTAAATCAGTCCATGTAAGTAACTACTTAAAAATTCATTTTTTTTCAAATGTTTTAATTTGTACTTATGAGGTATTACATATATTTAATTTGAATTACAGTTTATGTATGGTTGATTCACATTTTTACTAAACATTATTAACTGAATTATAATTTTTCATTAGTTGATTATTGTATTGTTCATAATAAATATAAAACATTGATGGTATATCGAATAAGTTAAAGTACTAGAAGTACCATCGATTTCAACCATTTCAACAATACAAAATTTTGTATAACATACTTTTAGAATCTTATAAGTGGAAAAATTAAATAAAATATAAAAATTTCTGTATTAAAGAATATTTTCACTATTCTTTAAACATTCTTCTTTAAATAAGTTGAAGGCTAATTGACCCTGTAAAAACTTAACACAAATCAATTTCATAAGTAATTAATTTCATGTTGTTTATAGACTTTAGTAGTTTAACCTGTACCTGTATTGTAAAATTCTTAAAAATAGAATAGCTATTAAAAAAAAAATTTTTAATAAGTTTGTTTTATTTAATATTATTTTTTTAAAACTGAAGTCTATATAATTCATTATAACTAATAAAAAAAATATATATTTTTTTAAGGATCAGCTTATGGATGTTTATGAAAGATTAGAAGATATGGCTGCAGACACTGCAGAAGCACGAGCTGCTCATATTTTACATGGTCTTGGCTTTACAGCAAAGATGCAAAACACACCTACTAAAGATTTTTCTGGTGGTTGGAGAATGCGGATTGCCCTTGCTAGGTATAATTGCACATAATCTTGATATATATTGATAAAATTATTAAATCGAAATAATATTAACAATAATAATATTTTTTAATTTTTTTGTATTTAGAGCTTTATATGTGAAACCACATTTACTTCTTCTTGATGAACCTACAAATCATCTTGATCTTGATGCTTGTGTTTGGTTGGAAGAGGAACTAAAGACATATAAAAGAATTTTAGTAATTATTTCTCATTCACAAGACTTTCTTAACGGAATTTGTACGAATATTATTCATCTTCATAAAAAACAATTAAAGTATTATACTGGAAATTATGAAGCTTTCGTAAAAACAAGGTAAGTTATATAAGCAATTTTTAAATTTAATTTTTTTTTGCTTACAAGAAGTATGCCTATTTTTTAACGTAATATAATTTTTTTTATAAAATTCTTCTTAAATATTATATTGATAAATTGCTTGTTTAATAATCGCAATTAATCATTTTTATATAGAATTTTTTATACATAATACCATGTATACAAATGTCAAGTAATTTTCAACGATTAAATTACACAGAATTATGCATTTATCTTTCTGTAAAGTGATCAGTTTTTTAAATTTGAATGGTTATTCAATAATCTCATAGATTTATTCTGTAAAATTAAAATAAATTATAAAACGGAAATTGTAAAGTTATTTACTATAGTTTTTTAACAATTGATAGTTTAAATATTATGTACTATTTAATTTTGATGTAATGACGAATTAAAAACAAACTTTGCATATTCTTCACAGAATGGAGCTTTTGGAAAATCAAGCAAAGCTTTATAATTGGCAACAAGATCAAATTGCTAGTATGAAGAACTATATTGCTCGATTTGGTCATGGTTCTGCAAAATTGGCTCGACAAGCGCAGTCTAAAGAAAAAACTTTGGCAAAAATGGTTGCTCAAGGACTTACGGAAAAAGTCACGAATGATAAAATTCTTACTTTCTACTTCCCATCATGTGGAACAATACCACCTCCTGTTATTATGGTTCAAAACGTTAGTTTTCGTTACAGCGACGATGGACCATGGATTTATAAAAATTTAGAATTTGGTATCGATCTGGATACTAGATTAGCTCTTGTAGGACCGAACGGAGCTGGTAAAAGTACACTTTTAAAACTATTATATGGTGACGTAAGTATAAATATTATCAGTCCATTTGATTAAAATAAATGTTTAAATTATTGAAATATTGAAAAAAGAAATTGTAGAAATTTTATTACTATAAATAAATTTTCGCCTATTGATAGATTTTTTGAAATAAATATTAATATTCAACAGAACCATCTGTATCTATTTAGTATAATAACAATTTCATTAATTTGAATTATAGTTGGTGCCAACTAGTGGTATGATAAGAAAAAATAGTCATCTTCGAATTGGAAGGTATCATCAACATTTGCATGAGCTTCTTGATTTAGATGTGTCTCCATTAGACTACATGATGAAAGCTTTTCCAGATGTAAAAGAGCGTGAAGAAATGCGTAAAATTATTGGTCGATATGGTTTAACCGGTAGACAACAGGTGCGTCTTATTGTTTATGTATAGAATATATTTTTTTCATTTATTATCGATGCTATTATCACACAGTATTATCACACAAATTTATGCTTTTATTTTACTTATTTAATTTCATTAAAAAATTACATATTTTGGGAAAGTAAACAGTATGTAAGATTAATAATAGGTGTATTGTATAATTTATTGCTTATATTTATCAATATTTTAGATTTGCCCTATTCGTCAATTATCTGATGGACAGCGGTGTCGAGTTGTATTTGCTTGGTTAGCTTGGCAAGTTCCACATCTATTATTATTCGATGAACCTACAAATCATTTGGATATGGAAACAATTGATGCCCTAGCAGACGCCATTAATGATTTTGATGGAGGAATGGTGCTAGTGTCACACGATTTCAGATTGATAAACCAAGTAATTAATATTCTTTACATAACATTTAGATAATATTAATTAATGCGTCCATTTTTCATTTATATTAATATTTAAATTATTATAGTTATATTTATTACTGGTACTCATTAATTAAATTAAAAAATTTAATTTTATTATAATATATATTATGCATGTGTATATTACGCGAATAGTATTGGCATTATTAGTATAATAGTAATAAAAAATAATTTTATAAACTGATTAAAATAATTTATTTAATAATTTAGGTGGCTGAGGAAATTTGGGTATGTGAGAATGAAACTGTCACCAAATGGCAGGGTAATATTCTTGATTATAAAGAGCATCTTAAAAGCAAAGTTCTAAAGGATAATCAGAAACGACAAAATGATATGTCAGGCCGATGTGGAAATTAATTAAATTGATTAAGATTTTCCAGTACTTGCGACAAACAATATAATCTTTCTATATACTTAAGGGATTGCCTCAAGATTTTAAAAGAAAAATTTTAATAAACTTTCGCTGCTGTGTAGCGATAAGCTGGTTCCAACAATAGCTAATTTATTAAACTAATATAAATAATTTAGTGCGATCTACAATGAATGATCGCTAAATGACGGTAACTTATCATTAATTTAGACACTTGATAAAAATTGGTCCGATCCAATACTTGGATGTAAAAAATAAAATGAAAAAAAAAAGTTTGCAATAATTAAAATAATAAATCTTTATTTAAAATTTTATATAATTCAATTTTTAGCATAAAATATAAATGCACAAAATGTATAATAAAAATACTGTGTCAAAGCGTATTGCTGGTATAATACCTATCATAACATTGATGTCAATGAAATACATAATTTTTATAATAAGGAAGAAACTGACATTCTTCTAAATATAATAAATTAATGCCTTAATTATAAAGTAACTAACATTGTGGAATTTAGTATAATGTAGTTGAAAGCAACAAACATTTGTTTGTCTAAAATTTATTCAAATCAATATATGCCTTCATTAGTTAAAATATTTCATATTAAATTTAATACATAATGTGTAATTTCTTCTCAATATGAAAATATTTTATGAGAAATAAATTCATTTAACAGTAATAAATTAGTTTAAATGATTTTATATTTAATACTTTATAAAAAAATAATTTTAAAAGAATCTATCACACTGTTGTGGAAGCTGGTATAGAGCAAGCAGCTTCCTGGGCAAGGGCTGCATTTCTCAATATAAGCAAGTAGTTTCTAATATAATGATCCGTATCATTAATGGCTTGATCTATAAAAGCTAACTTTTTGGCTTGGCTTTTTGAAACTCCATGTTTAGTGACTAAACCTAAATGTGTAACAGTAAGAACAAGTGCTACAACTCTTGCTTCAAGAAGTCTTGCGTCTATTGGTGGATATAAACTAAGAACTACATCATCAGCTTTCTGTGGTATGCACCTTGCAATCTAAAAAATTCCATTTGCTTTTATTTGTAATGAGAATGATTAATTAATAAAATAGAATTCATTAAAAATTTATTGAATTTTTGTAATAAAACTTAAATTATTACGTAAATATAGAATATTAGGAGCATTGTTATCAATCCTATTATTTCTTAAGTAAACAAATTAATGTATTCATAATTTATATATATATATATATATATATATATATAATTTGCATAAATGAAAAATCTGTAAATAATTTAGATTTTTGTTGAAGTTTGCCAGTAATAACAGCAAGTTGTTTTTAATTATGAAATTAAGATTTATATACAATTTTACTTAAATAAAGATTTAAAAAATGAGTGGATATAATATTTTTACACACTTACATCAATTATTTCTAATGGCAGTGTGCTGCTGCTGTTAAGAGATTCAATAGTTGTAGAAATCCTTCTTGCTAATGAATGGCAGTATCTCAGTATAGCTATGCATGGTGGTGCAAGTCCAGTTGCATCATCCACCCATCTTATAAATAATATTAAAAGAAAATTGTTTTTTATTGCTTTATTATTGTGACATTGAATAAATTAAATTATAAGAAACCTTTCAGCACCAGCAAGCCATTCATCAGTTTCCCAAGCATGTAAGCCAAGACCTAAATTATCCCCCTCTAATAAATCGGAGCTCATATCTTGGGAGTATTTTTGGTTCTAAAACGAAAACGTCGCTTTAACAAATCTTATACGTGCATACGCACACCCACACAAAATTCTGCGTGCGTAAATTGGTTGTAAGATTATAATCATTTTAACAAGTGTAAATATTTATTGTGCATCAAAGCTAGAGAAAATGAAAATAAAATATCTGCTGGATTTTTACTTTTCATTTGACATCCTGAGTATTTTGGATTAAAAAATTATCTTTTGTGATTTGTATATTTTTATTTACAAATTTAATTTTACAATGTCACAGTAAAAGAGGAATCAATTACGTTGACTAATTATTTGCATAATTTTACCATTTTGCATAAATAAATGTTTATTGGCAAATTTTCAATTTAATCATTTACATTAAAAACGCTGTAAGGCTTTTATTAGGAAAAAATATTGAATTTTAATTAATTTTAACAATAATTTTTAAGTTGAATAACAGAGCACTCAAGCTTAATTTGAAGTATAAATTAAAGTTAATTTGTTCTTCCTCAATGTAGATAATTTATTGGAGCAATTAGACGCACACGTACTGTATAGCAATTCGAATTTAAAGGAATCAATCCAAATGAGGGCGCTTGGATAATAAGTAGCGTAAGATGTAAATAAATAAGAATAGGTTACGTAGTAGCAGCGCTGCTTCTTGCAAATAACAAGGAGAACGAGAAGCGCACCGAGAAAAACAGCGGCCAGAGAAGCCAAAGCCACGGCGTCAATTGTTTCCATAGCTGGTGCAGTCGTCGTAATGACTGCATCGACGACTGAGATCGATGGGTAGTTCATCTTCATAGATCTCGCGGGATCGAGCACCACCTGTTGCCAGTATATGCATCGACGTGCCCCTTCTCTTTTCTTCGCGTTATAATATCTCCCCACCTTAATACGTCGTTGTCGCCATCGGTTGCTGCCGCTGCCGCCGCCGCCGCCGCCGCCGCGCAAAATCAGATAGATCAAACCCCCTTGTTAAGTGTGTTACAATGTCGCACGGATCTAGATTGAAGTCGATAGAAGTACGTTGTCACGAACACTGATTTTTTTTCCATATGCAGACGCACCTTTTTTTCTATTTTTCCATTCATTTTTGAGTTAATTTGATTGGGCAAGTAGAAATTCCTTATTCAATCAACTAGCCAAGTATTCCTTATTATTTTATTTACTATAAATCTCATTTTTCAGTTGCTTTTATTTATTAAAGTTGTTATTTTCGTTGGATGTGAAAATGAAAATGTACTTAGTCCAACAAGTATAATCATATCTACAGTATAGATTTCGATTCGATACAAAAATATGTTTGTATTGAGAGTTAAAATATAACTGGCACAACAAAAGTTTATTGTAAACTAAGATGCTTTCCTTACTATCGCTTATTTGAATGAGTTAGATTTCTTTCTACACCTCATAAAAATGATTCATTCGATATCTATTGAACTACATATATATATAATATTTTGCAAAGAAATATATAAAGAATGATTGTAAATATTTTAAAAGTAAAACAAATATATTTTTATAGATTTACAGAAAACCCATGTAAAAATACAAAAAGAACAATCGTTTTCTTTATTAATTGTATTTTTAAGAAAATTAGTTAAGAAAGTGCGGCTAATAGTAAACATAATAATAAACAAGATGAAGCAAAACAATATTAACTTCGTATAGTATTTCCTTTATGTTCATATTTATTTGCTGTTTAACTTAATTTTTTTATAATATTCATTGAAAATTTTATAGTTATTTTTAATAGAATCGAAACAGTAAAGTTAAAAACTATTTAAATATTAATATATATATAAACTAATTATTATTATTGGGCTAAACTATTTAAAATTATAAGAAGATAAAATGAAGTATCAAGATTTATAAAGGTTCCATATTAAATTTGATTAAATGTAGGCTGTCTATATTTTACAGTTTCATATCTTTTTTACGGAATTTTGACAATCTCATCGTTGTTTTTTTATTTATTTTACCTTGAGAAAGGATACTGATTCATTTTATTAATTGGGAGAATGTGTGCAAAATTATAAAGCAAATAAAATCTTTAAAAAATTTGTTTTGTAAAATTGTGAAAATTTTAATATGTATGTTTTATATACAATGTTTAATAAATGAATTTTACACCTTACGAACCAAAATAGTTTATTAATCTGCTATTTAACATTTATTATTAATGTATTTTTTATAATTATAATTATTATGAAGCTTAACTAATTGAAAGGTTGTCTTTAATTACAAATTTATTATAAGACAATGACAAACATTGAAATAAAAATGTTTGCTGTGAGAATGTTCATTATATTTATATTAAATATATAAATTTTTCATTTATACTCATTTATATTTATAAGAAATATAAATTAAGGCCTAAGAAATATAGAAAAAGAGATTTTTCCCGTATTTTTCATTAATAAATTAATTTGTTTTACTTTTGTGTAATTGTAATTTACGGTGTATACTAAATGTCCTTTTATTATTAACATTTCTAAAATCTATTGGATAAATTTTTATAAATATATAGATATGAATAATTTTATGTATCAAATATTGGCTACACAAATTCTTAGTTGTAATAAGTAATCCTTTATTTGTAACCTTTTTTAAGGGTGTTAATTTATTCAATATATTTATCTACTTTTGCTCTCATAAAAAATTGAAATACTTTACTTAATAAAGTAAATAGTAATATGTTAAATTTAAAATGAATGAATTGAATTATTTGAAATTTGAAATGAAATTATAAAATCTAAAACAATGATAATGACAAAAGCATAGTTGGTCGTGCTACTCTCTTCCTCTCACGGTGTTCCAGTTATGCAAACATAAGCAACATCGATTAAGATTCATAATGCTAATTTTCTCATTCTTTGAAACTTATTGTATATGCCACTCTGAAGAAATCGAAGTTGTCATTTATTTAGTGCGCAAGTTCGGTAGAAATATTATGTAAATATATAGTAGAATTTATATACTGATTTATTTAACACACTGACAAATTGAAATATTGAATAACCGTTTAACCGCATGTTTCTTGCTTGGTGGAATTTTTTATGATTTTTTTACTTTTCAATAAAATTTAGTAATATCTAAATTTTAATTATATTTAATTTTAAGATATTTAATTTATGATTTTATTTAATTTACTTAATTAATTTATTCAATAACGTTACATTAATATCAATATAATATATATGATAAAAAATTATAATTTAAGTTTAAAAAAATATATAAATTCAATAATTAGTCAAATATATAAAAAATATATGGTAAATATAGCGAGAATTACAATATTCTTCAAATCATTAAGGCAGTTTATATTATCATTTAAATACATACGTAATTTAGTAACTTAGTTTATGTTATACAGTTGACAAATTGATAAACAAGTAATCCGAGGCAAAATATGATATATACGTAAAGAACAAAATTACTAGTATTTACTTTTAGTAGGAAATTGAAATTCAACCAGTATTAATGCTTGCTATTAACGCTGATCACTTAAATTTTTCCATTATTTTTGTTTTCAATAGAAATATTTATTATTAGATTGGTTGTTATTTGAAATTTTGTATAAGTTTATGTGGAAAACAAAAATGCATATTTGTATAAAGTTGTGTACATTAGACTTTTAATGTTATGCTTGATTAAGTTACAAAATATCGAATTATTACATAATTCATTATTGCATTAAAATTTATTATTTATAGTTTTTACAAAATTTAGTTTAATATTCATTTCCGATAAGCACAAAAATTTAATAATGAATGGTTGATAACCTTCTGATTATTTAATGTTATACATCTTTTTATTATATAAAATAATTTTTATTCATAATTATTGAAATATATAGAAATTTTTTAGTTTTTATAATATATTTTTAATAAAATAGCATGACTTTGGCTATATTTAAAATTCATAATAATTTTCTCAACTTATCTAGAAAAATTAACCAAAGGATCAAATTAATATGGTTAAACAAAATTACTTACAAAAAATAAATACAAAATACTTTGGTGAAACAAAATTAAAATATTTAATTATAAAGTCTATTTTTTCATGCTGTTCAATGAAAAAAAAATGCTTTGAGGTCATCATTAATGATATAATCAGATTAGTTAATTTGTCAAACATTATAAGAAATGTATTATTAAATTATAACTTTAATAACGCATGAAAATTAGAATAAACCTTTACAGAAAAATTATTAAATATATTAGTAAATCAATTAATTTTGATTGAATGAAAAACTGTTGTATACATTTAGATTGCATTATTTTTATAAAATTTAACGTAAGTTTAATATTATTATATTATATTACGATAAAGGGTTTTCATATATATTTTAATTATTATTTCAATCTTTTATTTATCTTTACTGAATTGTTAAAACGATTACTATAAGTTTCGCGTTAACGATTAAAAACTGTGAATTCTGTCTATTGTGTTATCGAATACAAAATTCGTTATTGTATATTCAATACTTTTTTGGTTTTAAGTTTTTTTATTCAATTACGGGTTATAGCATAATAGATATATTTAAATAGTGGCATTAAATAATATTTATAAATATCCAAAGTAGAAATAAAATATAAAGAAAAATACAAATTTTAATAATATATTTTTATAACAATCTGTATACAAATTATTTTAATATATGTACATTACGTAATATTGATTCACATTTTTATAAGTGAAGTTGAACGTTTTAAATTAAAGGGAAAAAAGAAGAAGATTGACTGGAAGTCATATAGGAACGCCTAAATTTTTAACTTTGAAGGACAATCTACATATAGAAAGGAAGGCAGAACTATGTCAAGTGAATTTGTTCGTGATACACTATATTCACACAGCACAGCAATCTTTTGTAATAAAAATATTAGCTTTAAGATAAATAGGTTTTTTTTTTTATTTCATAATGTAAATTCGCGAATGAGAAAAAATATGTCATTTTGAACATTTGGAATTATTATAAACCAGTTCAATTTATTACAAAAGATTTTATTATAATATTATTATTGTAATATTAGAAGAAATGAAATTTTTAAATAACCTTTCGAATGAAAATTACTAATAAACTTTCAATTTCAATGATGAGTGAAAGATATATTTAATTATAATTATGAATGTAGAGTGTAAGTAGTGTAACTTCATTAAATCTACAAATATAGATTTACATTTATTTGAATGGCATTTATATTGTTAATAAATTATTTATTAGTCTTTCTTTCTTAAGTAAATCTCAAATTGAGTTTAAACATGCGCAAAAAATAAAAAAACTGTATTTTATAATTACAGAAGGATAGAAATATTTTTATTTCTAATAAAAAGAACATTTAATTTAAATGTATCATAAATCATTGAAGATCTACATTTATACTGATTTAAACACTTATAAAATTATAATAAATGGATATTGCAGTTATGATAAAATATTATTGATTAACAGTAATTAAGAAATAAGATATAGATATTTAAAAATGTACAAAAATTAATTAAAATATATAATACTATAAAATTTTAAATGACAAGACTGACTGGAAAATTATTTTATAGCAAAATGATTAAACTTATGCAAAATCAATTCTAAAGATATATATATATATATATATATATATATATATATATTTTTTTTTTTTTTAAATTATTTATATTAATTATTAATATGTTTGAAATTTAATATTTGTATTTTAAATATCTTTTTAATTCTAGTATTAAATTATTACCAAATTATTTTTAAATTGTTAATTCTATTATTAAATGAAATAAAAATAATTTCTAATTTTAATTTAATTATAAATTTTTAATCAATTATTGTGCTTGTTGATTAATAAATAAAAAATTGAGATTTAATTGATAGTTAATCTTTAATTAGGATATTATATTTCATACTATTATTGTTATTATGTTTTCATTACTTTAAGCATTTTATTATTTTTAATATTCTAGGATATAATTCAGTATCAATTTATTAATATGAAATGTCTGAATGGATATTTAAATGTAACGAATAATCCTAAAATATTATTAGGATATTTATTTGACACTGTAATAAAAGGATATAAAATAGATCAAAACAGTTACAAGAGGGAACAGTACTAAAGTTATAATTTAAAACTGTGATCAAGTAATTAATTCATCTTCTAGTTTGTGTGAGAATATGTTTTATATGCTATGAAATAAAAATAAATGTTTAGGTGTAATATTTAAGTGACCAAAGACAAATTGATACCATTTCTTGACTCGAAAGTGCATTGATAACGGCTTCATATCTCTTTTAACGCCTGTTAAAAGCTTTTTCAGTTTCAAATGGGTTTCGTGTTTTAAACATATATGTATGAAAATTACGGGTAGTGATGGCGGGGGAACAGGGAGATAAATATATAGTGAAACTTAACAAAAACAAAAAAATAATTTACATAAATAATTCTTATTCTTATACTGTATAATTTTCTTTTAAACAACACTTTTTAATGAAAAATACTTCTATAGAACTCATAGAGTCGGATGAAGTTTATTATACTTACATTTTTTTTAAAAATGCTTAAAAGTCAATATTATAATAGATTTATTCTTTTAATAAATTATAAGAGATTTACTCGTATATAATAATAAATTCGTGGCAATATACTTTTTTGGGTATCACAGTTAGTAAGAGAATGGTTATTATAAATTTCAAATCTTTATTTCTAAGAATTCTTTAAGCAGTTATAATGTTTCTATATTTTATAGCCGTGGAAATTTTTAATTTCTTTTATATAAATCAGTGCTACGTAACTTTAGAGAATAAATTATGTAATATTTTATTATCGTATGATATAATCGTATGATATATATCGGAACTGGTATAAAAAATCAGAGTATTTTATTGTTTTGCATAAATAAATAAAGTTTATTAAATAATCGTGTTTTTTCTACAAAGAATTTGTAGTAAAAAAATTTTAACTTATAATTGTGAGAAAAGGGTTCAAACGAAAACACTTATACATTAATTATTAAATAACATAATAATGTAACTGAATCAAAACTATATTATAAAAGTATTAAATTTATTTTGCAATTAATTACTAACTAAAATGTAATTATGAAAAAGTAATAAATTTTGTTTGATGCATACGTGTATCATTAATTAATTAAAATTATGCATGCAGATACAAGTTAAAAATTTTGGGAATACAATTATAGAAATATGCGGAATAAAAAATGATAATTAATTTAAATAAAGAATAAGATATGTTATTTAAAAAAAATTTTTAATCTAATAATTATACACATTTATTTATACTTATTTTTATAATTAAATTATAGTTTATAAGTACTTTTTTTATTACAAATCAAAGAATTATTATAAAATAGTATAACCTACTCATTAGGTTGCTAACCAATATGTGAGCCTATTGGTTATATTTAATGTAAAATAAAGTCATTGTGATTACAGGTATAATTCAGTACAGTTGTTATTTTTTAAAGTTCTTGTTATATAATTCAATTAGATTACTTTACTTCTTTAGAGTCTTTTTAATTATTTCGTAATATAGAAGATGGAAAAAAAGTTTTTTTTTTTTTTTTTTTTTGAAAAATATGATTTTATAAATAAAAATTATACGAATGAAATATATTAATTTCAAAAGATGTATGTTATCAATTGTTTTATATCAGTGTTATATTTTTACGATATTTTGAATAAATAAGTAGCTCAAAGAAACATATTTTGCTTTTAAAGATAAAGAGGGATTTACGTATTAAATTATAAATGAATGATTTATTCTTAAATTGTTAAATAAGAAATTATTTTATTTATTAATTAAAAATTCATTATTAGATTATCAAATACGACATATTATTAAAAAAGAAATACTGGATGAGAATTCATTTTTTAAATTTTAGACTACATAAATTATACAAAATATAAGGAACAGAGACAATAGAAAAACAAAATATTAAGTAGAAGGACGAAAAGGAGACGAAGAAAAATGTAATGACAAAGAAGAAAGCTCGTCAGATCTGATGAAAAGAGGGTTCAGGGGCTTAACAGACTGTATGAGCAAGAAGAGAAATGGAAGGTTTTTTTGGGCCAAAATGCGGATGTGTGTGCGAGACCATCTGTAGTCGGCTTCAATGCCATTGCTTCTCGCGCTTGCGAAATAACAAGATTGAATTTTGGCGGGGATCATCGGCAATTTTTTCGGTATATAAGATGGTAATACCATCGTCAGATCACTCGATTCCTAAGCTCTATCAAGTTGAGAACATGAAGATCTTCCTGCTCACAGTGGTGAGTGTTACAAATTTCATTTTCTCTTAGATGTGTCTTGTTTCTTTTTTTTCTTCTCCCTTTCAACTATGATTTTGTTTCGGTGCTATAAGAATATAAAAAATTACATAAAACTGAAAAAATAAATTTTAATATTTATTAAATTATGTACTTAATTATCTACTTATTTATTAGTATTGCCAATTTGGGCATTAGAATTAGTTATTAAACATGAAAGAAACGATCGAAACAATTAAATCAGCACCTTTACAATTTATATACAATGATGGTAATTGTGATTTAAAATTGTTATTAAAGAAATTTGAACGTGCTATTGAAATATATATGATTAATTGGAAAATTCTTAATATATTTTTTCCCCCTACATTGCTTAATAGCTTTAGCTTTATATACTTTTATGCTTTGCATGATATATTTTCATTTTTCTAAATATTCCTATAATATTTGAATTTATTATTTTGTAATTAAGCTATTTATGAATTTCTATATTCTCATAGACACAAAAATATATTCTTGCAGATTATTCTAGTTCAAATTGAAAGCAAATTTGTGATTGCCATTTCTTTACTTACCAATAATGCTCCTTTCAAAATAAATATTTGTATAAAATAAATTAGTTTTTATAATATAATTCTTATTTTCATTAAAATTATATTAATAATTCATCCGTGTGCTCTTATATTGTATTAATTGTATTAATACAATGTATTAATGAAACATGAGAAATTAAAAATTAAAATGTATTTATTACATTACTGTATTTAAAAGAATAATATTATAATTATAATTGTATTTTAACTTTAAATATTCACTGAAACATTATTAAATTACATTCTTAAAAAATAGCATATAATTAAATTATAAATTCGATACTTTCATATTTATTAATATTGACGTATCAAATATTATATATTAAATTAAGTGTAATACATTCATGTAAAAAAATAAAAAAAAAATTGATCAGGTTTTATATTATTCATATTTAATCAGTAGAATTAGAACATTTTTCTAAATAAATTGAACGATAAATGTGTAATTAACAAATTCTTCATTAACTAGTAAGTGATTTTTCGTTTTATTTTATAAGAATATTTTTAAATATTAAATATTGTGAAATATATTTGCTAATCCTTTAATAAATGTATAGCCTTAATTGGAAGTTTGTTGAACGAAGTTTATTTTTTACTAAATCCGTTATTAGTATTCTGTAACAAAAATTCGCAGAATTATTAATTTTAATAATTTTAATCTGTTTTAAAGGCAAATTTATTTTCAAAAAGTAAATTTCGTTTTATAAAGATTTTAATTGGTTTAAAACGTCAGAAATTTATTTTAAATTAATAAAAGTATTAATTTTTATAAAATTATCAATACGTTGGTAAATCTGCTTCATCAGCTTTTGTTTTGTTTTTTATAATTAGTTTCAGATCAGATAATTGAAAACATGCATATAAAAGTACTAAATAGTAATAATTATTTGGATGAGGATATTAATATAGAGTATTAGTAACATATGCGAATAAACACAATTCCTAATAACTGATTAAGAAATCATTTATAAATTATTTTGGAGCAACTAATCTACGAAATATAAAAAATTTGATGTAGTTATGCGCAGTCAAGGGCGTCGCAAACGCGCTTTTAAATAGGCATGACCTCTCATATCTATAGTTTCACGCGCAACTCTAAAATGAAAGTAAATTTTTGGACAACCGTTCGCATATTTTGAGAAGTTGTTTGAGAATTAAGGTAGATGCGACCTTGACGTTGCGTTTTTTTAACGATAGTTTATGAATCGGATATTAACGTTTTTGTGTACGTAATATGTAGTGTGTTGAAGATTGCTTTTCTCTATCATTTCTTCGAATTGTATAATATATTATAGACCTGTTCTCACGAGGTCATTGATTAATTTACTATCATATTATATTCTTAGTATTATTTATGTTATTATAGTATTATAGTATTATAGTATTTGTATTATGGTAATTATTTGTTATATAATTTTTTTTTTTGTATGAAATTATCATTCAATAATTAAACATTTTTATTGTGATATTAAAATTTATAGTTTTTTTTTTTTTTTTTTTTTAATACAGATGTGTATTCAAATAAGGACGTATAAATTAAGTAAATTCATAGTGGATGTTTTAAATTGAACAATAGTAAAAATTAAAACTTAAGTTTTGATGAATTATACTAATACTTAAAATTATAAATTACAAATGATAGTTTTTTTTTTGCATGAAATCAGAAAAACGGTGTTTGTTTTAAGTTAATAGCCTTTGATTGTCATTACATTTAATAAAACACAATGGTTCACTAATTATTAATAACAAGTATTCTAATGTTTTCTTATTTATGAAACAATTATTATAATTAAGTACTGCTTTTTCTTAATATCTTAGAATTTGGCACTGATTAAGACTTAGCTTGCGAAAGAAAACAATCGTACAAATACGAGAAAAATCTTTTTTATTTTCAATTCTTTATAAAGATATTGAATATAATTAAATATTTGTTATTGTTTAATTTTTTAATGATTTATTTATTTAAAAATGAACTTGCATAATTATTATTAATTGAAACATTTATTTTTCTAATTTTTAATTTTATAATAAAAATTATGTAGTTTCTGTAGTTGAACAAAAATTTGATGATATCATAAATAATAATTAACTTACATTTTCAATTAAACCTTTATTTAGTATATAAAATGTAAAATAAAAAAATTAAAAATATATGAAACAATTAAACGTCAATCTCATTAATTTTAAATTTAAGAATATATTATAAATTGATATTCCAGAATTATTAAGTGTCTTTAATAATTAACCAATCGTCTTGGTTATTAATTAGCATGTTTGGCTAAATAATTCTGTTCACATTGTCAATCATTTTTCCGGTTTTTCATATATATATATATATATATATACACTGTGATTATATTATTCGATAATTAAAAATTTTTTATAAAGAACGTTAATTATATTATGCAGAGAAATAGCATATCAAATGCAAATTAATATACGAATAAATTGAAAAAAAAATAAAAAATTAAAAAATACATATATAATAAATGAATTACAATGATGTTGTAGGTAATTTTGGCATTTAGCCACGGTGCTCCAAATTACAAAACAAAGAGAGATATACTACCAGGTGATCCACGTTTCGGTACCGATTATCATCACCAACACCACCGGTTGCAGCCTTTAAGCATTGACGTGAATCATTTTAGTCAGTATCTTCCTCCTAGTGCTCAATTCGATAACGTAGAGGAAACTAAGCAGAATCTCGAACTTCCCTCAACCTCCTATGGAGTGCCTTTCAGACAAGAACATCAGGTGACACATCTTTTCGTTACAATAATGCTTTCATTACTAATGCTTACATACTCATTCATTCGAATCTTATGCAAAATTTTTATTTCTTCTATAATCATGCATACTTTATTAAAGCAATAACAATATATTATATTCGAACGAAATTATAAAGTATATTGTATTATTCATTCGATACGTGTAATCAATTCAATTATAATAGAATGATATTGGAAAACAAATTATTTATTGAATAAAACTAAAATTTAATATTAATTTAAAATTTTTTATATTCAATAACAGATATTTATGTATTAATAAAATTATCGTTGTATTTTAATTATTTAATAAAATGCAAAAATTGTTCATAATTGAAGTAAGCTTGAGAATAGTTTATAAATACAATTTGTAATTTAATAATTTAGAACGATGCAAAGTAGTTGTAAAGAAGTAAAATGATTATTAAAGTGAATAAGAAAATAAAAGAGAAATGAATCAACATGAATTACACCTATAATTTCATAAGGAAAAGTTTTCACAATATAACAGTATCCAAGCTTTTAATTGACATAGTCGATAAAATAAAGCATCTTATATAATGTTTACTATCAATAACTTTTTCTACCAATGAGATAAATCCAACGATGAATAAATCTTATTTACCTAAATATTTTAATAATTAGATCAATTTATATTGTATATAGAGAAATCTTAAATCAACATATATTTTACTTAATATTTGAAATATTAGTAGGCAGATTATTAATTATTATTTGTAATTTTATCTATTATTTAAATAAATAATATTGTAAAGTAAAAAAAATGTTTATATTAAAGTAATTCATCTGAAATTTATATTATTTATATTATTTGTTTGTTTGTTTTTTTAATAAAGTTAAACAGAATATATTTTTATTTTATGCCTTATATTTTATGTTTATGCTTCTAAGTATAAGAATTCAAAATATAAATGTAAAAATAATATTACATTTTTTTAAGGTTTCTACCCAAGTTTCAACACCAAACAATAAGTATCTTGCTTC